GTTTTTCGCATTTTTCCGTAGCAAATCTAGCTTATGGTTTGGAGAATATTTTAAAGAACAGAATGACAAGTGTAAGAAAAGCTTAGGAAATCGGTTCAAATTTTCTACGAAAATTTAATAAAATTGCCAATGTTAACTTGTCACTTAGTGTAGTAGAGGATGTGGTAACGAAAGAAAACGCGGTAGTGTCAAAATTACCTCTGAAGGGAGTGCAAACGTAGAACGTCATAACCCCTGTTCATCATCGGAGGACAAATGTGACTCAGGTCTAGAGCGGGTATTTATGTGAGGATGACTTCTAGAAGCTAGGGAAATCACCGAGATCAATGTGCAACACCAAGCAAAGGAAGCCATTGTGTCTGTTTGAGGCTAACCGGTGACATTCTTGTCATACCACTCGTCGATATACCTGTTTGTTACTATGCGAGCTCACTTGTGATAAAAAGGCATTCTTACCTGACGTTCATTTTTAGGTTGTTGGAATTTATCAAAAAGCTTGTGGTTGGCTGGATAATTTCCAAGAATATAAAGGGAATGGTAAGGAGGAATGCCTCATTATCACACATAAGCTCACACACTGTTTAAAAGTGATATAGAGAGGCACATTACCCATCCATGTGAACAATGTGCGGTTGGTCTCCACGTGAAACACTCAGTGAAGGACTCATGGAGAGCGCTGAATGTGAGAAGAAACTACTTTGTTTTCAATGTGTTTGAATACGTTTTTCTTTGTTGGTTATGGAGATGTTTGGTTGAATAGATTGCAGTCAACTTGACTTTTCCAGACTCTGGAGAAGGCGAAATCAGCCGAAACGTCAGCTTTTTCGTCAATAAAGAATAAAGTAACAAACTCATATTTGCTCATCAAGAGTACAGCGAATTGCTTGATTTATCACTGATGTAGTTCTGCTAAGCCTTAACATCATATGTGGAAGAAAGCTTTCGAGAAGAGGAGTTTAAAACTAATTTAAATTTATCTAGTGGCGGCAAGAATGTGAAGATTGGTAACTACTAATTGTGTTCGCCTTTGAAAATTGAGCCCTTGAAAATTTGGGCTCGCTAAAGTAATTTTTCACCATGGGTTGTCGTACTGTTTGTTCGAATATAGCATATTGCTTCTTCTGCAGCTGAGAGTTTCAGATCCTTTCCTTCACTTGTGTGATGTGAGATACTCCTAGCATCGTCCTTTAGACTGTGCGTTCGATAACGCTGAGTGGTCTTTCATCCTGCTTACGCAGCGATCAGGTTTCTGACGCATACTTAAGGCAGGAAGTACCGTTGAGTCGAAAAACTGGGGCCGGAGTCGGGTGTTCTTTGTTCTCTTCACTACATCCTTAATGCTCTTGAAGGTTCACCAAGCGGCTCACTTCCGTTCAATTCTGAAAGTAAATCATGAATCATGTTCATTTCTCGATTTAGATAGACGTAACTTGAGCATTCGGAGGTAGTCGTTCCGATGAGCGTGGATGGGATTTATCAATGTCCGCAAGCACATTGCTTCCGCTTGGCAAATGCTTGGTGTTATAAGAACGATGTCATCAGCAAAACGAAGATGGTGTAGTTGCCGACCATCGATTTTTATTCCCACATTATCCCATTCCAATATTCGCATGACGTTCTGGAGGGTGCCGGTAAAAAATTTTGGCGAGATGGTATCTCCTTGCTTAATCCCTCTTTTGACGTCGATGTTAATGTCATTGTAGAATGGTTATGTCTTGGTTGTGAAATCCTTGTACAACCCACAAAGGATCTTTATGCACTGAGTAGGAACTCCCTGACTATCAAAGGTTTCCATAACTGCTTCTAAGTTGAATCAAAGGATTTCTTAAATCGATGAAAGTGAGACAGAACTGTCTTTTGTATTCTCGCGATACATCATTAAGTCTTGTTATTGTGTGGATGTGGTCCATTGTACTGGATGCTTTTTCAAACCATGTTTAGTCACATGACTGTCCATCTTCCATTGTTCTACCAAGAAACCGTCTCGACAAATATTCGAGTTTATACATCAAGCTGTGAAGTCGTACAACTCTCAGGTAATTCGCTTCCGAACTTACACAGGTGTGCTGAATGCGGTAAAGGTTTTAGGGGAAGAAAAGAACAAGTAATTGATGGGATTTAAGAATGTGGGGAAAGCATCTGCAACGTTCTCCGAAAATTCGCCAATTAGAAAGTCAGTCGCCCTCTGCCACTCAGGTATACCATCACTGCTTTAATGGAATCAAAGAGGATAGGTATTTTGTCCTGGCGGTTATTCCTTCCGACATATTATCTCGGCATTGACGTACTATCTACCGCTCGGACTGGTCGTGTTTATTTAAATGTATGGGGGGCCTATCGATAGTCTAGATCAATACGCTGGCTTGCTTCTCACATAACACCTATTAGAATTCATATTTCAAAATAACTGGAAGATTATGAGAACCGTAATGTTCTATAAGCGAGTAGATCCACGCCATATTGGCAACTATCGGGCAATCTCCTTCCTTTTTGTCGTCCACAAATTTTCCCAAACGTCGTTCTCAGTGAGGTTGACAGAATACTGGACGAAAGACAGTTTTGCAGACGAGTGGGTTTTCAAGTGTTCATCAGGTACGATGATTCATATGAAAGTTACACATCTCAATAAATTATTGCAGGAGCATAGAGTATATTCTCATTTTCACTAACTTGGAAAAGGGTTTCTATCGAAATGAGACAGAAATATCATAATGGTTCTGGAGAACCGTTTCTTCTCTGCTCACTACACAAACATCCTTTGCGAGCTATACAACAGTTTCATAATCAGAATTTCACCGTTCTACAATAACTTCTTGGATGTTAAAACGAGCGACTTGTTCGACAGGGTCATCTAGCCAAAATTATTCAACGTTTTGTTTTACAAATTTGATCGTACCGTTTTGATTACGTTAAGCATTAGCCAGGAGGAATGAGTGTTGCTCAATTTTGAAACACCTTTAGAACGACTGATCTTAAAAACAATCTAGGAAGACAATCTTCATGAATTCTCCCTTATTCTTCGTAGAAAATGTACCATAAAGTGCTGCAGCTGCTCCTGTCTGGGTTCGTAAGTCAACATCATGAATGCGAGGCGAGCACGACAAAGCGAGTTATCAAAAGGCTCACCGCTGTCTTCGAGGATACAGTGAAGAGGAAAAAGAACATCCTGTTTCATGGCAAATTTTTTAAAATGTTCGATTTTGCCTTCCTTGATTTGCACTTCAAAAAACCATACGTGCAAAGGGAAAGTGTAGTTATCGAATGCGATACTGACAAAGTGGTCCTTGTAGTATTTTTCTTCATGCTGTGAGAAATCTAAATTGGAATACCAATCCACGTTGAAGATCGAAGTTCAAGCACGCCCTAAGATATCAAAAGTCATATATACTATATATATATATATATATATATATATATATATATATATA